TCCTCCCCATCTCCCCACACCTACCCTAGTCCCCACAGCCTCCCCTGCTCCTCCCCATCTCTCCTATGACCTTACCCATCAGCACCTGACCTTCAAGAGCTTTTCGTTAATACATCCCCAAGTCTCCTAGCACTTCTCAAACACCGCCGTGACCTTTCCCAACCCTTCAAGACCCGCTCCAAGGCCCTTCTCTACTGCCTTTTACCGGATATAGCGCCATCCGGAGGCACTCTAACCTCCTGCCTCTGATTGATGCCTCTCCCTCCCCACCTTCCCCCTCCCCCCTCCCCCTCCCCCCCTCCCAGGATTAGCGAGGCAGGTAGAGCTGTGTGTCGCCATCTCTCCCATATTGATCACGTGGACCTCTCTCTCATCTGAAGGAAAACAGAACATCATTATTTGGTATTCAGATGTTCTGTTTCGCGATAAAGACCTCGCGATAAGGCGCGCATAGGACCTGCTGTGGGAGACTGCATGGGACCTGGTCATAGTGGAGTTGGGGCGGGTGGCGTGCGTCGATAGTGGTGGTGGTGGGGTTGTGGGGGGGCGTGGTGGTGGTGGTGGTGGGGGGTGGTAGTGGTGGTGGTGGGGGGGGGTGCAGGGTTGCCACGACTCTAGGGAAGTACTCTGCCAAGGTTCAGTTCTCCTGCACCCCTCTACGGCCAGGCCGGGCCGAGGGGACGGGTGGGGGGCCGAGGGGACGGGTGGGGGACCGTGGGAGAGGGAGCCATTGACGGGGGAGAGAGGGGGGGAAGGTGGGGTGTAGACCAGGAGGGGAGGGAAGGGGAGGGGTGTAACAAGGGGAAGCTGAGCTAGGGGAGCAAGAGAGGGGCGCTAGGGTACGAATATGTTCCCACGTTTTTCAACATGTACACAGCTGGCCTGCCCCCCCCCCCTCGGCAACATGGCCTGGCCCCCCTCGCCAACATGGCCTGCCTCCCCCCTCGCCAACATGGCCTGCCCCCCCCCTCGGCAACATGGCCTGGCCCCCCTCGCCAACATGGCCTGCCTCCCCCCTCGCCAACATGGCCTGCACCCCTCGCCAACATGGCCTGCACCCCTCGCCAACATGGCCTGCCCCCACTCGCCAACATGGCCTGCACCCCTCGCCAACATGGCCTGCCCCCCCCTCGCCAACATGGCCTGCCCCCCCCTCGCCAACATGGCCTGCCCCCCCCTTCGGCAACATGGCCTGCCCCCCTCGCCAACATGGCCTGCCCCCCCTCGCCAACATGGCCTGCCCCACCCTCGCCAACATGGCCTGCCCCCCCCTCGCCAACATGGCCTGCCCCCCTCGCCAACATGGCCTGCACCCCTCGCCAACATGGCCTGCCCCCCTCGCCAACATGGCCTGCCCCCCCTCGCCAACATGGCCTGCCCCCCTCGCCAACATGGCCTGCCCCCCTCGCCAACATGGCCTGCACCCCTCGCCAACATGGCCTGCACCCCTCGCCAACATGGCCTGCCCCCCCTCGCCAACATGGCCTGCCCCCCCCCTCGCCAACATGGCCTGCCCCCCCCCCCCTCGCCAACATGGCCTGCCCCCCTCGCCAACATGGCCTGCACCCCTCGCCAACATGGCCTGCCCCCCCTCGCCAACATGGCCTGCACCCCTCGCCAACATGGCCTGCCCCCCCCTCGCCAACATGGCCTGCCCCCCCCCTCGCCAACATGGCCTGCACCCCTCGCCAACATGGCCTGCCCCCCTCGCCAACATGGCCTGCCCCCCCCTCGCCAACATCACAGACGCTGGCGATGTTACTCGCCAACATAACCCAGGCGACAACTGAATAAACTACTTGCAAGAATAAGCCCCAACAAACAAACGTTACAAATAACAAACATTGCAAGCGGAAACCCAGAGTTTGTTATCCTTGGCCACCAGTCTATCCGGCAAGCGGATGTAGGCACAATACTCACGCTTACGTTATCACAACAGCAATCAATATTGACTCAAATGACAGAATAAACAAAGCAAAATAGAGCTAAGGAAAACTGAGGAGATTCCATAGACTCACCCCGAACAAACAGCTATAGAATACAAGGCTTTATTCCGGCCACATCTCAAATATATATAGTTTTTACTCCAGTACCACTACATACCTTAAACAAAACTAGCAGTTAATAAATTACCGGTGGTAGCAAGCATGGCCTAGGAAGTACAGCATAACACCGTCCACCATATGATCAGACAAACCGGGAGCGCCATGAACTCCTGAACACACAGCCACTAAACATCAGACCACCAAGCCATCAGGGTGTGGAACACCATTGAAATGTTAGAGGACCCAATGTTAGACAGGTTACTCCAAGATGAGACGCCACGCTCCCACAGCTGGTGGCCCAAGATGAGACGTCCAACTCCCACAGCTGATGGCCTAAGATGAGACGCCCCACTCCCACAGCTGGTTGACCAAGATGAGACGCCCCACTCCCACAGCTGGTGGCCCAAGATGAGACGCCCCACTCCCACAGCTGGTGGCCCAAGATGAGACGCCCCGCTCCCACAGCTGGTGGCCCAAGATGAGACGCCCCGCTCCCACAGCTGGTGGCCCAAGATGAGACGCCCCACTCCCACAGCTGGTGGCCCAAGATGAGACGCCCCACTCCCACAGCTGGTGGTCCAAGATGAGACGCCCCACTCCCACAGCTGGTGGCCCAAGATGAGACGCCCCACTCCCACAGCTGGTGGCCCAAGATGAGACGCCCCACTCCCACAGCTGGTGGCCCAAGATGAGACGCCCCACTCCCACAGCTGGTGGCCCAAGATAAGACGCCCCACTCCCACAGCTGGTGGTCCAAGATGAGACGCCCCACTCCCACAGCTGGTGGCCCAAGATGAGACGCCCCACTCCCACAGCTGGTGGCCCAAGATAAGACGCCCCACTCCCACAGCTGGTGGGAGTGGGGCCTGCTATCATAATTCTCACATCATGTCAGCGAGGCGGACAGTCCGCCTGCTATCATAACTCACACATCGTGTCAGCAAGGCGGACAGTCCGCCTGCTATCATAACTCACACATCGTGTCAGCAAGGCGGACAGTCCGCCTGCTATCATAACTCACACATCGTGTCAGCGAGGCGGACAGTCCGCCTGCTATCATAACTGACACTATATTTTCCATTTCTGAACTTATTCCTTCACCTGAACCTTTCCATCTTCTTTAATACTATAATGAACCCGGAACTAAAGGGGAGGGAGAGAGAGAGAACAGGAGCAAAGGGGCGGACACTAGGGGTGAGGGAGGGCTGTGAGGGAGGGCTGTGAGGGAGGGCTGTGAGGGAGGGCTGTGAGGGAGGACCAACCAAAGTGGGAAAAGGAACAGGAGGAGAATCACATGAAATGTAGACAGAATGAGGAGAATTAAGGAAAAAAAACTTGTGTGAAGAGAGAAAAAGGGAAGGGGGGGGGCCTATTATGAGGAGAGCTAGGGGGAAGGGGAGTTAGGATGAGAGAATAAAGGGCTGAGAGAGGTGGAAAAGGGGGTGCACTAGGGGGTCCAGAAACTAGGGGGTAGGGAGGATTATCACAACTGTGGATATGACATTTATCGATAGTGGGCTGTTCCCCCCCCCCCTCAGTCTCTTCCCCTATTTATGTGTCCTCGGTCACTCCCCCTATTTATGTGTCCTCGCTCCCTCCCCCTATTTATGTGTCCTCGGTCACTCCCCCTATTTGTGTGTCCTCGCTCCCTCCCCCTATTTATGTGTCCTCGGTCACTCCCCCTATTTATGTGTCCTCGCTCACTCCCCCTATTTATGTGTCCTCGCTCACTCCCCCTATTTATGTGTCCTCGCTCCCTCCCCCTATTTATGTGTCCTCTGTTCCAGCCCATACTGTCATTCCTCCCCCCCCCCTCTTATAAAACATTGCGAAGTCAATAGATTTTTTTGGTGTGGAGGTGTTGTGGTGGGAGAGGAGGGGGGAGGGGGGGTGACTTCCGAGGCCTCCCCCCCCCCTCTTTCCCTCCTCTGCCCCTCTCTTTCCCTCCCTCCCACAACAACCCCTCCATCTCTCTCCACTACTAGGCCCCCCCCCCTTCCCACTCCCTATATAGCGACTATCAGAATTCTGAAGAATGTTCCATATCTTCGTCACGTGACCCGACTTGACCAATTAGCAGCGAGTAAAACGTGGCTGCTTCTAATTGGCTACGATCTCAGAGATACGAGTTCGGAGGGTCTCTCTGGAGGGAGACTGCTCCACCCCCCCTCTCCTGGCGCCCCTGGGGAGGGGTGTATATAGGCTCACTTGTAATGGGAACTTCAGTGGGCCTCCGGCAGTAGTGAGGGGAGGACGCACTCGCTCTTCCTGAGTAAAGCCTTTTTTAATACAGGAACATCTTTGCTAAATGTTTTTGTAAAAACGTTTTAATATATATATACTCTTACATTTAAATAGCAGTAAGATATATTGAAAATGTTTTGGAACATGTAGTATTCAGTATAAATACCTGGGGGGGCTAGGGAGGTCTTATTCAACCATGTAAACACATCTATGTTTCCTTGTACCTCATGCCTCTTGTTGACAGTGCAGAAATACTCAATCTTCCCAGTCTTCTCTATCCGGTCTTATTTTCGTGACTTTGTTATATCATTCCAATAAGTTCGTTAAGCATGATTTCCCTTCCCTAAAGCCATTCTGCCGTTTATTTACGTAACTATTTGTCCTCAGGTGTGTAGTTAGTCTTGATTATTCTTTCGAAAACTTTGCAAGGAATGTTGACCAGACCACACACTAGAAATTGAAGGGACGACGACGTTTCGGTCCGTCCTGGACCATTCTCAAGTCGATCGTCCCTTCAATTTCTAGTGTGTGGTCTGGTCAACATACTTCAGCCACGTTATTGTGACTCATCGCCTGCATTTGCAAGGAATGATTGTAAAAGTTAATACTGGTCTGTAGTTAATTGCCTCTTCTCTATCTCCTTTCTTGGAAATTCACACCACATTTGTCTTCTTCCAGTAGCTAGGCAATTCTCCCTTTGTAGGTAACTCGTTAAAGATCATCTAGAGGTAACTCGTTAAAGCTAGAGGTACGCTGAGGGCCTGTGCTGCATCTTTTAGCATCCACGGGGATACGACGTGGGGTCCAAGAGCTGTAGTCTCGTCCAGTGATGGTAGTTACTTCCTCTGTTACCTCAATATCTACCAGTCTCTCGTCTAGGGTCTTCTCCTTTTCTAACAACCGTAGTAAACACTCCAATGGAAACTGGTATTCACTTCCTCGCAAATTTCTTTATCACTTACTGTATCTCTTTCGTTTTTCGTAGTCTTATCACTGTCATTTTCCCTCTTATATGACTATGTAATAGATTTGGTATCTTGACTTTGATAGAAATATCGCTCTCATAGTTTCTTTCTGATACTCTTCTTATGTTTATATGTTCGTTTTTGGTTCTTTTGCAGCTATTCCTGTTTTCCATTGCTCTTTGACCTCTCTATTTCCTCCACTCTCTCTCTCTCTTGCTTTTCATTTTGATTCTTGGCGTTGTCTAGCGAACCGTTGCTTATTATATTCCCTCCTACTTTTTTTTTTTTTTGAGATATATACAAGAGTTGTTACATTCTTGTACAGCCACTAGTACGCGTAGCGTTTCGGGCAGGTCCTTAATCCTATGGTCCCTGGAATACGATCCCCGCCGCGAAGAATCGTTTTTTCATCCAAGTACACATTTTACTGTTGCGTTAAACAGAGGTTACAGTTAAGGAATTGCGCCCAGTAAATCCTCCCCGGCCAGGATACGAACCCATGACATAGCGCTCGCGGAACGCCAGGCAAGTGTCTTACCACTCGGTAAGTGGTAAGCTTACCACTACCACTTACCACTGCTGTTAGGGAAGGTACTTGGTCATCTTATTGCTGGCATTAAACACCCTTGTCGCCTTGCATCTCCAATTCACTTGATCATCATTTCCTGTACACTCTTTCCTCCATGTATGTGTGTGTGTGTGTGTGTGTGTGTGTGTGTGTGTGAGAGAGAGAGAGAGAGAAAAAAAAAAAAGAGAGAGAGAGAAAAAGAGAGAGAGAAAAAGAGAGAGAGAGAGAGAGAGAGAGAGAGAGAGAGAGAGAGAGAGAGAGAGAGAGAGAGAGAGAGAGAGAGAGAGAGAGAGAGAGAGAGAGAGAGAGAGAGAGAGAGAGAGAGAGAGAGCGAGAGATTGGACATCTGACGGTGAGAAAGGTGGGATCATTGAGTTTTGATCCTACAGGCGCGCGCGCACACACACCAACTAAACAATATTCAAAGTGAAACAAATAGATGGAAATAAAACAGGACCCAAGAGACAGTGACTCTGAGACGCCATGAAGAACCTCACTGCAAGAGTCGTCAACATTTCCACGGATTAAACAGATTCTCTAATAATTTTGATAAATCACTTACAGACAGCGGTTCTAAATCTAAATTATACCGTATATGATGATAATGATTACATGTTATGATGTTAAGTAAATAAATAGTTTGTAATTTGAATTTGATTTAAATTACTACTGATTGCATTAAACTACTTGATTAGTTTATTCATAAATTCATTTATGAACTAATTTATTAATTTATAAACAAATTTATTCATTTATTCATCAACTCATTCATAAAACTTTTATGAATGAGTATTGGTGAAAATAAACAGGTGCCTCGTATGGGGCTAATAAGCGTTATGCATTTCATTAATTCTTATGTTGGAATGGCTGGAAATGCAGGGCTAATGACCTGACACTGGACCGAGCGAGCACAAGTTCATCTAACGACCTGTTGCTGTTTGGCACCATTAGAGACGTTGGTAGACCTGTGTGTGAGTAGAGCATGCAACATGACCGCAACCCCCCCCCCCCTCCCACTTTGCAAGAGGACGTGTTGCATATGCGTTGTTGTGTGATGGTAGCGGGCGTTGAGTGTGGGCTCAGAGATGCAGGTTACTGTGGCACAACTGTTTCGCTCCCCCTCTGGTGTTCCCGGTGACCCCTTGTAACACTCATCCCTTACCACAGCTGCTCGCCTGCTGTAACCTGGAGCATTGTCTGCTGCACACGCTGCCTCTCTCTCTCTCTCTCTCTCTCTCTCTCTCTCTCTCTCTCTCTCTCTCTCTCTCTCTCTCTCTTTCTCTCTGTCTCTCTCTCTGTCTCTCTCTCTGTCTCTCTCTCTGTCTCTCTCTCTGTCTCTCTGTCTCTCTGTCTCTCTCTCTCTCTCTCTCTCTCTCTCTCTCTCTCTCTCTCTCTCTCTCTCTCCTCCCCCATCTCTCTCTCTCTCTCTCTCTCTCTCTGTCTCTCTCTCTGTCTCTGTCTCTGTCTCTCTCTCTCCCCCATCTCTCTCTCTCTCTCTCTCTCTCTCTCTCTCCCCCGTCTCTCTCTCTCTCTCTCTCTCTCTCTCTCTCTCTCTCTCCCCCGTCTCTCTCTCTCTCTGTATATATTATAGTTGCCCGAGCTCCGAAGACCGCTGGCAAACATTTCTCTTCTAACTCGTTAATATTCGTAACGTGAGAACTCTCTTCCTCCTCCAGTGACGTCACATTAGCCTTTGTCAACACGCTTCTGCGGACCACATCGTGAGGGGAAGGCGGCGCATGCGAGCTCCCAGGTGTACACACGCACGCACGCGCACGCACGCACACGCACGCACACACACACAATTATTAAAATTAGGTATGATAGGGAAATTGGACAGGAGTCATTGCTGTAAACAACCGATGGCTATAAAGGCGGGATCCAAGAGTCAATGCTCGATCATGCAAGCACAAATAGGTGAGTACAACTAGGTGAATACACCCACACACACACACGCCAATAGGCTGATGCCACACCACACCCCTATTGTCAATATCATCAAAATGTTCCAACATGCTCCCATCTGCCCATTCCTACCTGACCTCATTTCATCTGAGAGTCATGCGAGGCACAGTCTGCTCTCTAGAGAGCTATACTAACATTACCGCACCCATACTTACTGCAGAAATGTTATATATATAAATCTATTCTACCAATGTCTGTAATATTTCTCACAGGTACGAGTAATCTCTCATAGGAGCCAATCAGGAGACAGAACACTCGCCTCCCAAAATGTCAGAATTTGCCTTGATCGAAGCGGAAGTTCCATTCACTTCGCGGCAGTCCTAGAATGAGGAGGTTCCTGCCCTGTGGGAGACGTCTTAGATGTTGACTATAGACTTCCGGGAAGTGTACGAAGATAAAACTCAAGAGTCAAAATATGCTTGACCGTCTGCAGTAACGTTAACTAAACGTTATCAACGTCGTTATCAATGCCAAATCAAAGGAGCTTGTCCACTTCTGCAGGACACAGCCGAGACGGCAACAGTTCAAGAAGTGAACCTCTCCACCTCCTGATGGCTGAGTGGACAGCGCTCGGGATTCGTAGTCCTAAGGTGTTCGATCCCCGGCGGAGGCGGAAACAAATGGGCAGAGTTTCTTCCACCCTGATGCGCTTGTTCACCTAGTAGTAAAGAGGTACCTGGGAGTTAGACAGCTGCTACGGGCTGCTTCCTGGGGGTGTGTAACAAAAAGGAGGCCTGGTCAAGGACTGGGCCGCGAGGACGCTAAGCCCCGAAATCATCTCTTTCACGATGATAACTACCAAATTGTGGGACTGAGACTACTGCGACAAGCACCAGGTGAACGTGGGTCGAGGGAATGGAATGTCCAGACCTATAATAAATGAGTGACCAGTCTGCCTTAATAAAGTTATGGAATGTCCAGACCTATAATAAATGAGTGACCAGTCTGCCTTAATAAAGTTATGGAATGTCCAGACCTATAATAAATGAGTGACCAGTCTGCCTTAATAAAGTTATGGAATGTCCAGACCTATAATAAATGAGTGACCAGTCTGCCTTAATAAAGTTCTGTAGGGAAGAAGTGCATGAATGATGCAAGCAATTCAATTTCTTTCTTTATTATGCACCCCATACCCATCCGGTGGTGATGGAAGATCCAGCGCTAAGTAAAGAGGATCTCACACTACTACACACAGGATTTACTTCTAATGCCTTCATAACCATTAAATAAAGTCATTTATTTAATGACTTTAATTTAAAGTCATTAATTTTTTTAATGACTTTAAGGACTTTTTAAGTTTTTTTAATAAATTTAAGCCACTTTTGAGAAGCCAAATGTTGAGAATCCTTCTCAACATTTAGGCATTTGTTCTGCCATAAATTGACCGTACTAAACAGCTGTTCAGAACATATGAACAATTTCTCCTCTAACAATGAAAGCAGCTGAACAGAATCCATACATGCCGCTTGAGGCAATTACAAATATCACTCACGACTGAGCGCCTTCCAAAAGACCAGATCATTGGGTAAACACAAGACTCGACAATCGTACTGCAGGATGCATCTGTTTCTGAAGTGTCCGGGTTTGTTGACGTTCTGCCTTCTCTGTCCACCTCCAAGGGCACCTGGGCGAGCGAAGATGGCCCTCTAAGAGGGAGAATCACCTCCCAGTCCTACACATAAAGATCTCTGACAGCGTCTTGGGCTCACAGAATGCCCTGAGCCCACCGGGTATAGGAGCGGCGATACATATATATATATATATATATATATATATATATATATATATATATATATATATATATATATATATATATATATATATATATATATATATATATATGACTCATGATTGGTCATATACCTCACCAGAGGTGAGCATATGGACACCACTCTCCTTACTCTCACTAATACACTGCCTCTACTCTTCCTCTAGTTGAGAAGTTGTTTCTCACCACCTGACCCATATTACTGTTGGTCTGACCCATATTATTGTTGGTCTGACCCATATTACTGTTGGTCTGACCCATATTACTGTTGGTCTGACCCATATTATTGTTGGTCTGACCCATATTACTGTTGGTCTGACCCATATTATTGTTGGTCTGACCCATATTATTGTTGGTCTGACCCATATTACTGTTGGTCTGACCCATATTACTGTTGGTCTGACCAATATTACTGTTGGTCTGACCCATATTACTGTTGGTCTGACCCATATTATTGTCGATCTGACCCATATTATTGTCGATCTGACCCATATTATTGTCAATCTGACCCATATTATTGTCGATCTGACCCATATTATTGTCGATCTGACCCATATTATTGTTGGTCTGACCCATATTATTGTTGGTCTGACCCATATTATTGTTGGTCTGACCCATATTATTGTCGATCTGACCCATATTATTGTCGATCTGACCCATATTATTGTTGATCTGACCCTATTATTGTTGATCTGACCCATATTAATGTTGATCTGACCCATATTATTGTTGGTCTGACCCATATTACTGTTGGTCTGACCCATATTACTGTTGGTCTGACCAATATTACTGTTGGTCTGACCCATATTACTGTTGGTCTGACCCATATAATTGTTGACTGACCCATATTATTATCTGACGCGAACAAATTATATTTTTAAAGTTCCGTACTCTGCCTCCTTCGCTTCAGCATTTCAGCTTATGGGGAGTGAATGGGGAGAAACTGAGGGGAAGGGTAGTGAAGGGGAAGAGATGGGAGAGTGAAGGGAGAAGTGAGGGGGAGGTACTAGGAGGTAATGATAAGAGGGGGCTAGCCTGTACGTTCGCAATAACCTATTGATTCTATAGCCACCTGAGGGGAATAGTGGCCTCCCATGTCGTCGAGTGCTCCTGTCTGTCCCCTGTGGCACTCTTCTGGAGTGTTGAATAATTCCCTACACTGTGTGATGTATTGGATCTCTAACCCTACCTATACCTCGTAGTGGACCCATTAACCTTACCCTACACCTTGTAGTGGACCCACTAACCTTACCCTACATCTCGTAGTGGACCACTAACCTTACCCTACACCTTGTAGTGGACCACTAACCTTACCCTACACCTTGTAGTGGACCCACTAACCTTACCCTACACCTTGTAGTGGACCCACTAACCTTACCCTACACCTTGTAGTGGACCCACTAACCTTACCCTACACCTTGTAGTGGACCCACTAACTTTACCCTACACCTCGTAGTGGACCCACTAACCTTACCCTACACCTTGTAGTGGACCCACTAACCTTACCCTACACTAACCTTACCCTACACTTAGGGACTCTTCACGTTGCGGTCACGATAACGAGTGACGTCATATCAAGTGCTCAGAGTCAGATAACTTTCTCAAAACTCGTGTCCAATACACCATGTGTGTCAACTTTGTGACAGTGTCGAATACACCATGTGTGTCAACTTTGTGAGAGAGAGAGAACATACACTCAAAACATTATATTGTAGAATGTCCCATATTGACTGACTTTCGCCCTCCTGGGCTGAGGTATGCTGAACTCTGTAAATATTATCTGAATATTGGAACACTTGATGCTATACTGAACTTGTGCCTCAGATTGACCATGTAATGTATCCTTTATGTTATATTTGTGATGTAAAACTTGTTAAAGCTCCTTAATCGTCTTTTGTGGTTATATTCTTATCTTGAGGTAATCTTGAGATGATTTCGGGGCTTAGCGTCCCCGCGGCCCGGTCCTCGACCAGGTCTCCTTTTTGTCACGTGGTTAAGTGCCACGTGACAAAAGGTGTTACAAAGCTGTTTCTTTTTGTTATACAGTTTCTATGACGTGTTAGAAAGTTGTTACAGCCTGTTAGATACTTGTTACTACTTGTTAGAACGTTGTAACAAGTAGTAGTTTCGACGTGTGGGATTAGTTTCGTACAGGTGGGATTAATCCCATTCTGTACTGATTAACCAAGTGGACTATATATGTAAAAGAACATATTTCGAACCCTGTGTATGTGGGACACAGGTAACTGTCTCAGGTGTGTATATGTAGATTACCACTGCTAAAACACTACAATCACCTTCTGTGCTCCAGTGCTCTATGCATCACTACTCTGAATGATCTCTAACACATCTCTAACCCTGTCCATGGAGGACACGAGACAATGTATATAAACTGGTATATGTATACCTCTGTATATGTATACCTCTGTATATGTATACCTCTGTATATGTATACCTCTGGGAGAAATTGACTAAAAACTCAAAAGTCCTTTACTGAATTGACTGAGGATTGCTTGAGGTCCTGGTGAGGGTTATCTTGAGTCGATTTCGGGGCTTTAGTGTCCCCGCGGCCCGGTCCTCGACCAGGCCTCCACCCCCAGGAAGCAGCTCGTGACAGCTGACTAACACCCAGGTACCTATTTTACTGCTAGGTAACAGGGGCATAGGGTGAAAGAAACTGCCCATTGTTTCTCGCCGGCGCCCGGGATCGAATCCGGGACCACAGGATCACAAGTCCAGCGTGCTGTCCGCTCGGCCGACCGGCTCCGTAGCATTACGAGAAATAATACTGCAAAATGCGTTAAAAATTCGACGTATTAGTAACCCATAAAGCCCCGTAATATCGACGTTCTTCACATGGGCCCCGACAGGTCAAGGCGAGACGCAGCTCTAGGGCCCCGCCTCGTAGGTACTGAACCTTGTTTATTTTCATCGCCTCTGATTAAAAGTAATTTATATATAATTTTGATACATTTGTGTGTTTATGTCTTATACCTGTACCTCCTAGCTCTGTCATCCCTCGCCTGGAAACAACACTCTCTCTCCACTTTGACCGTCTCCTCGGTATCTTGTATGTTGTAATCATATCTCATTGAAAATCTAAAGTCCTTTGATTGAATTCTCGAAGTGGAAAAAGTTCATCCGTTCATCCCTCCTTAGTTTTCCAGCAGGAAAAAATCAATTTTTTTTTTATTTTAGACAAAATAAACAAACCAAAGACCTTTTCAAAACCCTGATTGACTCACCACCCACATAGTCTCCCCGCCTGGTGCCTTCTGGTGATAATCCGTATCCATTATGGATAATTGATATGGATTACCCATAATCCATGCTCTCCATACACCTATCGGAGCCCCCTTGCTGCCATATCTCGCTAGCGACACTTGACACTATTGGTGCGGAACCTTGTGACAACTGAACGGTGATGTGGGTGGTGGAGGTCACTCCCTTCGGCTGAGTCTATCATAGAGAAGCATAAGGCTTCGAGGTTAAAGCTTCCTGCCACTCGGGTGCAATACACAAGTGGCCAGACCTGAGTGATTACATTTTTGACAATAATAAAGATGCTAAAGAGGCCGCGACTAGTGGTAAATACCCTACAGGTGTTCCACCTGCGTCACTGGTGTCCCACAGCCAGGACAGGTGTGTCACTGATGTCCCACAGCCAGGACAGGTGTGTCACTGACGTCCCACAGCCAGGACAGGTGTGTCACTGACCCCCCCCACAGCCAGGACAGGTGTGTCACTGACGTCCCACAGCCAGGACAGGTGTGCCACTGACCCCCACACAGCCAGGACAGGTGTGCCACTGACCCCCACACAGCCAGGACAGGTGTGGGAGCTGCCCCACTGACCGTACAGGACAAAGGGAGTGAGAGAGTGGCCATAATCCCCACCAGAGCCAGCTGGCCGCTACATATATACTCCGTGAGAACCTCCCTCGCTCCATACTCTCATTTTTCACAGCAGTTTTTTTTCACTATTTTCACACAACATATATTTACACTTTTGTATTTTTTGTACCAGAGGGACGGGTGTGAGGGAGGGTGTGAGGGAGGGGTGTCTGAGGGTGTCTGCCCTTCTCTGCTGGAGCCAGCAGTCTGCTTATTCCAGTTCTCCCAAGAAAATTCCCAGTTTTAAAAAGCTGTCATTGGAGAAGGGCCAGGCATGACTTGTCATTGGCTGAGAGGGCCAGGATCTTAGGCCTGATTTCAGCTGGTTTTGGGCCGAGGCCTAGAGAGGAGGCCGAGTTTTCCTAGAGGGAAGGTGGGGGGGGGGGTGAGCTTGAGAAGTGGAGCCGGGACTCCACCTTGAAGCACACGGAACAACACAATAGTTAGTGTGATCTAACTATAGTTTTATAGTTCGGTGTTGTGTGTATAGTCTTGGGAGTGCTGAGAGAGGGGAGGTGGTGGGAGGGTGTGATCAAACCAGGGGGCCGCGGAGACCATCTTAGAAGCTGTGTAATGGTAAGTGACTGTGTGACTTCCCTCTACAGTTTGTCTTCCACAAACCACGCCTTTAAGGAATAGGATGTGATAGTAGCTTACGGTTAGTTTACATTTATTAACTCATTGGCTTGTCCTGGGTTCGTATCCTGGCCGGGGAGGATTTACTGGGCGCAAATCCTTAACTGTAGTCTCTGTTTAACTCAACAGTAAAATGTGTACTTGGTTGTAACAAGGATTCTTCGCGGCGGGGATCGTATTCCAGGGACCTGCCCGAAACGCTACGCGTACTAGTGGTTCTACAAGAATGTAACAACTCTTGTATATATCTCAAAAAATAAAAAAACTCATTTTACTGTAGATTATATCCTGTGGATTTTATATATTTTCACTTAATTGATTTTGAACAGCTTTGGTCTTGACTTGTGATCTATTGAGCAGTTTTATGAGGAAATATATCCCCCTATATTATTTATATAGTTAATTTAAAAGTAATTCCACTCATCCAGTAAGTATAAAAGATCAAAGCTCCCTAACACTAGGTATTAGTTGACTGAACAAACCCACAAGGGCCGTGACGAGGGTTCGAACCTACGTCCGAGAGGATCCTACACGCTGCCTTAATCGACTGAGCCGCGACATGGTCAAAAGAATTGCAACCGGGAGTTCAACTGACCTCCCGGTTGCAAGTCTTTTACCATGTCGTAGCACAGTTGATTAAGGCAGCGTCTGGGATCCATTCAGCGTAGGTTCGAATCCTCGTCACGGCCCTTGTGGATTTGTTCATTTGATGCATTAGGCTATTGTGATTTCTGTGTGTAATTAGTTGACTGGTCTCCTTCCGAGTCAATTACTCTATCAAAGTTCCAGGGCGCGGCAGGGTGCGGCAGGGCGCGGCAGGGTGCGGCAGGGTGCGGCAGGGCGCGGCAGGGCGCGGCAGGGTGCGGCAGGGCGCGGGAGGGCGCGGCAGGGTGCGGGAGAGCGCGGCACGGTGCGGGAGAGCGCGGCAGGGTGCGGGAGAGTGCGGCAGGGTGCGGGAGAACGCGGCAGGGTGCGGGAGAGCGCGGCAGGGTGCGGGAGGGTGCGGCAGGGTGCGGGAGAGCGCGGCACGGTGCGGGAGAGCGCGGCAGGGTGCGGGAGAGCGCGGCAGGGTGCGGGAGGGTGCGGGAGAGCGCGGCAGGGTGCGGGAGAGTGCGGCAGGGTGCGGGAGAG